CAAACCGTCCTCAAGTCGTCTATTCTCCCACACTCCAATTCACAAAAGTGTCACTTCAGTATTCCGTACTACATTCTAATTCCGATACGTAACCATGAAGGTTGCAATTACCAGTCTTCGGGTTGTATCGTATTATTGTTCTAGACACTACTAAGCAATATTAAATCGCTGGATAGATATGCATGTCTACTAGGACAGCATGTAAAGCAAACACTAATGGTGAAATTGGTTACTACTGTTTGTGATAGCTTGAGAGGTATAAATATCAATCGTAACAGAAAGTGCATCAGAGTTTGCAATTGACATTTGTTGGTATGGTTTGCTATGATTCAATTTGTATGCACACTTGTTGTGACAGAATGTCAATCAGGAATAGTAAATAAGATTTGTGAGGATTTTTGGCAATCGCTTGATACGCATGCATAGAAATCCGAATGGCAAGTAAAGTGTATACCGATAAGAAAAGCTTACTGTATGATGTTTCAACACTAAATAGGAGTCGATACCTGTCAGAAAAACATTCGAATTAGTAATTAGCAGTGAAATAGGTTGATATCATTAATAATTCGTTCATACTTATACGTTCTTATCAGAACAGCAAATTTAACAAACAAAACCTTTTGTATTATTTACAATCCTTTGATAGGTATGTATCAGGACACCGAGTGTATCAGAAATTCAAATTCTCATTTCTTACAATCGTTCATGAAGGTTCGAAAGCTATGAATATTTATTGGCACAGTAAAATACTGAAATTGATACTCAATGTATTTGATGGCTTGATTGGTATATCATGTTCTGGATCAATATTGAATAGATTGAATACTGCACTACAGTTTGCAAAATATCTTCTCCCAAAACACGAGATTGCGGCTTTCCAATCCATTCTGAAATATATACAATCTATGATCATATTCTGAACTTGAGAGTGAACAATATTCAGCACTTATCTCTAAAACTCATTGTTTTAATTTATAACAGTCTTCATAACGTGTATCCTGATATTTTGTATTTTTGTAAACGGGTAGGAGTTTGACAATGTCCTCAAGATAATATCTCTTCCACCTCACCTACCTATGAACAGTATGCGCCCGAATTCCCCCAAGCCTTTAGAATTACGATTATGGGTGCTTTTGATTGAGAATGTTATATTTGAGCTGACTGGCGGTCAGTATAGCACTCAATGGCTTGAGCATTCTCAGTGTAACCGAATTCAGATCCTAAAACCTTGTCCGATTTCATGAATCTATTGAATAATATGGTAGGTCACAAAGCGTCGAATTGGTCAGAAAGATTCTATGGATTTCTAGAAAATTCCGTCGATTTTAAGGGTATGAGTCATGTTGGGTTTGTGATTGCTAGGCTTTCTTTATGTATATTAAGGGGCTTTGCCCTCGATTCTATTCTCTTTCCCTCTCTTTTCTTCTCTTTGTTTTGGTACTCAAAGGCTTAGGTAATCTACGCTGGCTATTGCTACTCAAGTGCGATTTTCTCTCCTTTATAAGGAGGCCATCTCACTTCTCCGACCTTCCCACCGCTAGACCTAAACTACTGTAAGTTCCTCCAACCCCTCTCGCTGATTAACCTACCAGCCCCTATGAACATCTCCCGTACCCTGCGGAATACTCGCTACCCAACTCTCTAGGATTACATTGCGTCGTAATCCGCACCATACGTCATGTCCACCCTCAACCGACCTACAGGGGTCTCATCTAACAAAATCGAGTAGTTTAAGCATCAGTACGAATAGAATACTGCTGCCCTGTTTGACCACCTCCCTACTATGTTTTAAAGCATCCGACACGAGAGGGATAGTGCTCGTACACTGCTCTCCACCATCTACAAAACTATTGGCTACCTGGAAGAGCAAGTAATACAGGTCAACCTTGACCTCAATGTTGACCACAACGCTCCCGCCCCCAATGTTCCTGTCCCCATTTTTGCTGCTACTGCACCAACCACTGTCTCCACCGTTGGGTCTGAAAAGTTCCCCGAAAAGTTCGATTGCATCCGGACCAAAATCCCCGGATTCGTTACCCAACTCCGAATGAAGCTCGAAGTCAACCGTAATCGGTTCCGCAATGGGACAGTAAAGGTTATCCATGTGGTCAGCTGTTTTGAGGGAAGAGCCCTTGATAATGTCATACAACTTGTTAACGCCAATCCTGCTGACTTCTCTTCCTCCATCACCTTCTTCCTCATCCACATGGAAGCCTCGTTTGGAGACGTAAACACCCGAAGTACCACCCACCGCCAACTCGTCCCCATGAGGCAAGGCAAAGACGACTTTGCTACCTACTACTCGCAGTTCATCAGAAAGTTGTCCCACTTGTATTACAACAAAGGAGTCAAGATTGACGAATTGCCGGAAAGATTGTCGGACAACTTTAGAGACATCATGACATATCGAACGGACAAACCCAATATGGTGGAAGCATATGCGACCCTGTCAGTTACGATCGACAACCACATATAACTGACATGCTACGATGAGGCACAAGGGTGACTTCCTTTCGAATAGTGTAAATAAAGAGAGCGAGTTTTGATGATACTCGTTCAGAAAGAAGAAAATGGAGTTTGTATGTTTGAAAGTTCCCAAGTCTAGAAAATTATAACTTTAAAGGGTCTCTTCTCTATTAAAGATCCGTTGATGATGAGAGGCCAACCTGGGGCAACACCTAGTACCTTATAGGAATACGGCATGTTTGCTCAAGTTCTTTTTCCGACTGACAGTCTTCCTGTTGATAGTCGGGGGTACAGCAACTATCTTTTATCAGGGGAGAGGAGAGTAACTACGACACCTTGAATGAACTTCTGTCCGAGTCAAATCATGCAATTTGCCGAAAGCTGTGGTTGGAATCTTAAGAACTATTGGAAACAGCCGACCAGAAAATAATTGTTTATTCTAACTTTGTAAGAACTGATTTGGGTGTTTTTAAACCGAAGTTTTGCTTTAATAGCTTGAGTCACACTCCCACTCCCCAAAGATACTCCGGAGCAAAACAGGAGCATTCCGGCAGTTTGACACTGCGTAGGTTAGTGTTGGGGATTAAAACGGGTTTTTGGAATTAGATTTTCCATTAGCTCCGGGACACCGCCAGAATCATGTCTGTCGTGCTAAAGTATGGTCTTTGAACGTCTGTTGCAGAGATATGAAACCTCAAAGATTCGACTGCATAGGTAGGGAACCCCCGTCCTGGGTTCTCTGTGCTATCAGCCATCTTTGTACTTCTGTTCCAAGCTTGCCCAGCCCCCTATTTTTAACTTATAAGACTTCTTACTCATTGAGATCCCTGTCCTCTATACGAATAAAGGTACGAGCCCAACTGCTTTTGTCTTCACACGTCGATAAAGAACAAGCTGCTGTTACTTAAGGACGGTGGCTTAACTGATGGAATAGGTTCTTTTGTAACAGCCTTATAGTGGCACTGTTCTAGTAGTGGAATGTCGCACAGGATTTTGAGGTTGTCCCGCAACCGTTGCCCCACAATTCCGGGCTCCGTGGCTATTGGTCGAACAGGACGACCCGAGTCCATTCCCGTCATCAGGTATGCGCGTACAGGGGGTCGTGGTCGTGATTGCGGGGACGGAGGTGGTGGTTGGGGGCTGTTGAGTAGGGTAACTCACTGTGAGTTTTGGCGACCCGTCCTGGTTCACTACCGGCACCGCCACTCACCGGGCGGTTACAACGATCGATGACTGCATGGCACCGAATGCACCGTCTCGAGCCCTAGATCATGACGGCGCATGAAATTCAATGATGCCGCGTTTCTCCATCCTCTGCTTCGATGGAATACATAAATTTCGGATTCCGAACTGCGGGTTACCGCATTGGGTGAATCCCACTTCTTGTCTCCGCTGTGTCTTCTTACGCCAACTCGGATTCTGACCTCCAGGTTACCGCCCGGTGTGTTTTCTAACACTAACTCGGATTTCAATCTCAAACAACGCTATTTGCAATACCTGCAACCCAATATGTGAGTGACGATCCATGACCGACATTCCATATTGTGTATTGTTGCAGTCTAGTAGTGGAATGTCGGACAGGATTTTGAGGTTGCCTGGGAACCGTCGCCCTACAATTCCGGGCTCCGTGGCTGTAACGGGGGTCTCTTCTAAGAGAAATAGAATATAATAGAATAGAGACGGCCGTGCAAGAAAGACAATCAGGTTGCAGATTATTCAAAGATACTATCGCTAGAACTCAATAATCTTTAACGGCTCTGCTACCGATAAGAACTTGGTTTTTTCTTTCTGATTTTGACTGGAGAGAACAGGACTGAAGGGCGAGAATGAACCTGAGTACTTATACTCCAAAGGCCTCTTTTCTCTGCTCACAACTCCTTACTAAGCTCCGGTGGAGCCTTTTCTCGGTGCCGGAAACAATACCACCGCTACCCCGCGTTTCTCTAAGCGTCAGCAGGTGTTTCCGATACCCAAGGCCACCACCCTTAGTCAAGACCTTTGTAACACCTGCAGCCTTGGTTGCCACACAACCGAGGGCCTGCATGAATGAGCTGCCGCTCAGGTGTAAGCTTAATCATTGCTGTAGAGCTTTTCGCTTATTGTAGACTTCCCTAGCATAGTCCCTGCCTCTTTAGTGGACCTACAGTGCTCAGAGGATACAGAGGATCACCGGGCAATCAAAGCTTCACTCTGGCCGGTCTTCTAGTCACTGGCGAGGCATAGACTCGTGAGTCATTGCTCCCATGAATAGATCCCCTTCCTAGCGCCCGGAATGTAGTTACTCTAACAGCTGGTAGCTAACCACACTGCCGGTACTTGCATATCACCGTGCCACTGGCTCCTAACAATAACTCTCAGCATGTAACCGGGCCCTCTGTGTACTCATACACCAGACAGTTGAAATGGCTCCGTTACACTACTCCCCTCTTCCAGGATCTTGGTCTCCGAGATCTATAACCATTCTATTACCATCCATTCTATGTGACAAGAAATTCCGTGATATGCAAGGAAATGAAAACCCAAAGGAAAAAAATCTACAACTCAACAATCCCCTTATCCTTGGGTTTCTTAGGATACCTCATATGGAAATCCCGAAGGGCTTCTTCAGCACTCTTCTTGAGATGCTCCCAAGGTTCCCATGTAGCATCCTCGTTTTCATAACCTTCCCACAGCACTAAGTATTCCACTTGTCCCCTTTTCTTATTGACTCAGCTATCCGCTACTTCTCGGACAACCCAGTTCTGTTCTCCTTCAATCTCCTCAGGTTCCGGTGGGGGAACTCTTCTCTCAGGATCCACTGATGCTCTGTAAGGTTCCAGAAGAGAGACATGAAAGACCGGGTGGATTTCCATTTGGGGGGGAAGAGAGAGCTTGTAGGCACGGGTACCAATAGCTTCTAAGACCTTAAAGGGTCCCATCTTCTTCTGATCCAGTTTTCCCAAAGGCCGCTTTGTTTGCACATTGCGCCGGTCCAACATAACTTCCTCTCCGGGCTTGATTTCAGGCGGTGCCAGGGCATGAACATCATACCACCGGGCCATTCTTAATCTAACTTTACCTAAGCTGGCAGTCATAGCCTGCCAGATAGATTCCCATTGAGATAACATGACCTCGCTCGCTGGATTGTTCCATTCTACTCCTTCCTTTGGGGCCGGCCAGTTGGTCCTGGGTTCATAACCATAGTTGGCAAAGAAAGCCGATACTTTGGTAGACTCAGAGACCGCCGAGTTATATGCATACTCTGCTAAAGGCAAGAGTTCTGCCCAGTCATCCTGTTGATATGAACAATAACTCCGCGAGTAGTTTTCCAGGGTCTGGTTAACTCTTTCTGTTTGACCGTCCGTTTTGGGGTGGAAAGATGTGGACATCTTCAGCTTCACATTCAGGAGACTCATGAGAGATTGCCAAAAGTGAGAGATGAACCTGCTATCTCTATCCGAGACTATGTCATCAGGTAAACCATGGAGTCTCCAAACTTCCTTCAAGAACAACTTAGCCAAATCTTCCGTTTTATTGAGGGTAGGAAGAGGGATGTAGTGCGCCATCTTCGAAAAGCGGTCCACTATTATCCAGATCTTTGTAAACCCACTAGATTCCGGTAATCCCACAATGAAGTCCATAGAGATGGAAGTCCATGGCCGATAAGGTATCTCCAACGGTTGGAGCATACCAAACTTCTTATGTCTTGAGGTCTTATTCCTCTGGCAGCTGTCACAGCTCCGGACATATTCCTCAACATCCTTATCCATGTTGGGCCAAAAGAAGTTGTTTTTTACCCGCTCTAGTGTCTTAAATTGGCCAAAATGACCAGCCACCTTAGAGTCATGGGTATCGGACAGTATTTCCATCTGAAGCTTCTTGTCTTTGGGTATATACCATCTATTCTTGTAGAAGATGAGACCGTTCTTGACCGATAAGTTCTGGTCGAAATTTGGTTTCCTTTCAACCAAGGAGCGGTGCAGTTCCTGCCAGAAGCTATCCTCTTTAGCGGCCGCATGTAGGCGCTCTAAGAATGTATTCTGTAATTGATTCACCCTGACAGCCGCTAGCTTTGCAGGATCCAAAACCAATTGACCTGGCCTAAAAAAGCTCTGTGGCTCCGGCTGCAGAGTTTCACCTCCCTCTCCAAGGTGGTGATCCCAGCGCCTAGATAGTACATCAGTCTTGCCATTCTTTTCTCCCGGTCTGTAGACAACTTTGAAATTGTAGCCTGCGAGGTCTTCAGACCATCTAGCTTGCCGCCTAGTGAGAACCTTGGTAGAATTAAAGTACTCCAAGTTCTTGTGGTCTGTAAAAACCGTGATTTCCTGCTCACAAGATTTGAGCATGCGTTTCCATTCCCGGAAAGAGGCTACAATAGCTCCCATTTCCTTATCATGAATGTCATAGTTGATCTCAGCAGGGGAGAACTTCTTAGAATAGAATGCCACCGGATGTAGCTTTCCATCGTCCCCATACTGAGAGAGCACTGCTCCCTTGGCAAAATCACTGGCATCTGTTTCGACCACCGTTCTCCTACTAGGGTCAAAATGAAGAAGGATTGGAGCGCTTGTGAACAGCCTCTTGAGTTCTTCAAAGGCCTGCTCATGTGCTGGCGTCCAATACCATTTCTTGTCTTTTTGCAAGAGGTCAGTTAATGGCTTGCAAACCTTACTGAAGCCTTCAATGAAGCGGCGATAGAAGTTTGCAAATCCGAGGAATGCCTGTACTGCCTTGATATTTTCAGGGACCGGCCATCCCTTAACTGCCTCCACCTTGTCTTCTGACATAGATACTCCTTCTTCCGAGATGTGATAGCCTAGGTACTCTACTTCTCGGACATGGAAGGATGTCTTACTGATCGAAGCACAGAGATTAGCTTCCCTGAGCTTCTGTAATACCTTCTTGACCAGTAGCTCATGTTCTTTCTCAGTTTCCGAGTAGATGAGGATGTCATCAATATAGACAACCACTCCTTCATCCAGTAGTTCCTTTAGCACATCATTGATCATGGCCTGAAAGGCGGAGGGTGCATTGCATAGATCAAACGGCATCACATTATACTGATACAGTCCATAGCGGGTTCTGAAAGCGGTTTTCCACTTATCACCTTCGGCTATCCTGATCAAATTGAAGCCGTTCTTCAGGTCTATCTTTGTGAATATCTTGGCCTTGAACAACCTGTCTCTGAGCTCACTCATGATAGGCAGCGGGTACTTGTCCTTGACAGTGACCTTGTTCAATCCTCTGTAATCCACACAAATCCGCAATGTACTATCTTTTTAGGAATGAACAATATGGGCGCTGCAGCAGTGCTATTTGATCTAGAGATCTTTCCTGATGACAACTCTCTGTCCCGGTACTCTCGGAGGGCCTTCAACTCTGGAGCGGAACATGGGTACAGCGGGCCAAATGGGGGAGCGGTGCCAGGCAAGAGTTTGATCTTCAGATCATTATGGGAATGCGGCGGCATTTCCTCAATCTTCTCTTGACTGAACACATCGGCCCATTCCCGGTATAGGTGGTGTATTTTCTCAGCAATATCACCGCCGTCCTCATCATGCCATACTGAACCAACCAATTGATAGACTGTCTCTTCTTCTTCCAGCATCTGGTAGGGAGAGATCAGTTCAATCTTGGTGGCCGCTGGGAGACAATTCTGCTTGCAGTAGTCACTCCTCCAGCTTATGGTGTTGAGTTCCCAATTGATGTCCGGGTTATGCTTCCTAGCCCAACTAATTGGCAGGTAACCGGTCATCCCTTCTTCCAAAGTAGCCACTTCCCATCGGAGTGTCTCTTTATGATTTCCCATAGTCATGCGGACCGGGTGAGTGTAATACTCACCTCCTCCCATCATGACATCTCCTTGAGCATCAAACATTGTCAGAGGTTGATCCCGCCGCACTAAGGGAATTCCATGTTTCCTGACAAAACTCTGGTTGAGGATAGCTCCTGTGCAACCGGTGTCAAACAGGAAAGACCCTTGGGCGCCTTCATTCTTTTCTTTGACTGTCCATGACAGTCCTGCCTTCAGTATAGGTCTTTTTCCATGTACTGGTAAGGAGGGAAGCCTCTGTTCCAACCTTCTTTGCTTAATAGCGGGTTCTGAACTTGTTTCTCTTTATCTTTTCAACATAGCTAATAGCTTCGGGCACTACTAAGATCAAAGATCCTTTGGTTCTATTCCCAAGCGATAATATAGCAGGTATGATGTGTAGTAATTTTGGTAGCGGTTGGAAGTGTCTTTTTAGCAAATATAACTTTGGTAGAGCACTGACAGACCAGCTGTTTCGGGTCTTAAACCCATCCTCAGAGTGCTTGGCGCAATCAAATAGGCAGAAACTCAATCATAATTTATTCAAGAGAAACATAGAAACCAAAAACCCCATATAAAAGAAAACTAGTAAACATAGACCCACACAGACACTTTTCTACCAGAGGATTTCATTGTCCGAGTCTTGCTCAAACTGCAAAACAAAATCTTCTGTAACCTCCGGGAGTACAACAAGTGGATCCTCTGATACTACAGCAGTCACTTTAGCCTTCTTCTGAGAGTTGGACTTGCCATTCACTCTTTTCCGCTTTTGTACTCTCACTGCTGCCACTCGGACAACAGTAGGTTCCTTTGACCAACAATCGGTCCATTTGTGTCTGGACTTGCCGCACTATTGCACAAGTCAGTCTATGTACTCTACCAATAGGGAGTACCGAAAGGTCATACCTTCAAGCATACTTCTGCTTTCCTTCTTTCTTCTAGAATATCCCCCGGGATACCCTTCAGTTCCACCGCTTTATCTTTAGGTCCAGGAGTCTTCTGAGGTCCGGAGGAGCTCGCAGCTTCTCTTTTCCTCTTAGGCTGCTGGTCCTTCTGTGCGGAAGGATCCTTCTTGGTCCAAGGGGACGCCTTCTCAGCTGCCATCCCTTGGTACCTTTCATGGGTGTGCCCTAACTCTCTTAGAGCAGTTATCCGCTCCATCAAGGCCTTTGGTTTGGGATTGAAAAGAGCCCAACTCATATCTAGGTCCGCGAGGAGGGAATTGTTGATCTTATCATCCACCAACTGACCCTCAGAGTCAGTCTTCCATATCAGCTGAATAATAGTATTCAGGAAGAGATCTATTCCTCCTCGAGCCGTATAGGTAAGGGTATTCCATTGGGCTACAGCATCATCTCGAGAGATGGCTTCACCGAAGGCTGCTCTAAAAGCATCCACAAAGGAATCCCAACACTTCCATCTCTGATCCAACACCACCGGCATCCCAGCAAGACGGTTGGGAGAGGTTTGATCAATTGAATTGTGGTATGCCTCATACCATCGGATCGCTGCCTCTCCTTCCATCAAGTTGCCTGCATATCGGATCTTAACCTCCTCAGAGGTAAATGACAGGCGCTCAATGGAGAATACATTCTCACATTGCCGGATGAAGGTCTCCACTTGCTCCGCTTTGCTCTGGAACTTGGAAGGAGGTGGTGCCTTTGGTTCTCGGGCCCTGGTAGTAGCAGAAGGGGGAGAGGCGGCTGGAGGTCGGTACTGCTGAGACATTATAGCAAACAAATCCTTTTGTTGCTTCTCCAACTTCTTCTTAAGGTATCTCCGCCAACCTCTTCTATCACCACCTTCTGGTTCCGAGTCTGAACTATCAGAACTGTCTGAATCTGCAGGAGCAGGAGCGTGGGCCGCGGGAGGTGGAGGGTTCTGATTTCCACCGCTTCCACCCTGTGCATTAGCTGGAGGGGGAGCGGCGGCCGCAGCAGGAGGGGCCACAGGTGCTACTGGTGCCAGGTTGCTGGCCAATGGTGAGGTTGCTGCTCCTTGAGTGGCTCCAGATATAGTAAACCTTCCCGGGTTCCTGGCTAGCGGACTTGGAGGTCCTCGGCCTGCACCTTGGTAGAGTTCTCCCTCATAATCAAAGGAACGGTCGGCTAATCCAAGGAAGGGGTTTATTCCTGCAAAGCGGCTAGGAGGTAAGGGAGATGCTCCCACCACTGGCTGCACAATAGGAACAACTCTCCTACTGCATCGGTCCGGAAATGCTGCGAAAGGGCTGGTTTTCCGCTGCATTGTTCTGGTAGCTGCCCTGGAAGAGGACCTGGAGCCTGGATTGAGTGCCGGAGTTGCTGGTCTTCCCACCACCAGTCTTCCTTCATCAAGGGCTCTTTGTATCTCGGCAACAACGTCTGGTGGAGTAGTCAGGTTTGTCCACTCAATCTCCATAGCATCGGCATTCAGTTCATCTCTCTCCGCATACTTCCGGAGTTCTTCTTGAACAGAGTTGACCTCCATTCTCATGTACTGCAGAGCTTCTTCCATAAGAGCATTCTGTGCTGCCTGGCGCTCTTGTACAAGTAGTTGTGCCTGACTGCCCCGGGTCAACTGATTCTGCAGGCTGTGCTGGAGGTAGGTCTGAAGCTCTGTGAAGAACTGTTGGATGAAAACCTCATCGGTATCCTGCCAGGCGGGCTCGCAACCGGGGATGTAGGTCTGTAGAGCGGTCCTGAGCTTCTTAACAAGCTGTGTCTACCCGGTGGCATTAAGCTGGAGGGGTTCTAGTAGTGGAATGTCAGACAGGATTTTGAGGTTGCCCAGGAACCGTCGCCCCACAATTCCGGGCTCCATGGCTATGGGTCGAACAGGACGACCCGAGTCCATTCGTATCATTAGGCATGCGCTTACAGGGGGTCGTGATCGTGATTGCGGGGGCGGAGGTGGTGGTTGGTGGCTGTTGAGTAGGGTAACTCACTGTGAGTCTTGGCGACCCATCCTGGTTCACTCCCGGCACCGCCACTCACCGGGCGGGTACAACGATCGATTACTGCATGGGACCGAACACACCGTCTCGAGCCCACGATCATGACGGCGCACAAAATTCAATGATGCCGCGTTTCCCCATCCTCTGCTTCGATGGAATACATAAATTTCGGATTCCGAACTGCGGGTTACCACATCGGGCGAATCTCACTTCTTGTCTGCCCTGTGTCTTCTTACGCCAACTCAGATTCTGACCTCCAGGTTATCGCCCGGTGTGTTTTCTAACACTAATTCGGATTTCAATCTCAAACAACGCTATGTGCAATACCTGTAACCCAATATGTGAGTAACGATCCATGACCGACATTCCATATTGTGTATTGTTGCAGTCTGGTTTTGCATATCCCCTTGTTAGGGTTAGTCAAAATTACTAAGTAAATGGATTACTTCTGGTAACTCACTGGATTATATTTTTCCGACCCACAAACTTAATTCTTTTGAAATATGTCAGTTTCATGTGAGAGCCGCTAACCACGAAACCTCAAGAAAATTTTTAAATATACTCACAAACTAACTTCTAAAATATAACATCGACAACTTACAATCCTAACAAAACGAATAAAAACGTTTTGCAAACAGGATCCTGTATGTCAATAGACCGCACAATATACTAAAATCTTATCACAAATCTGTTTGTACGCTAAGTTATTGACACTCTGGTCCCTGAATTGTGATCTCTTATCGGTCCTAAACCCCTTGCTTAACAAAGGAAAACAACCTTCGTGACCCTAGCAAAAACATATAACCTGGTATACCCAACACCCTTACGCCCCTCTACCCCACCGAGCACTGCAGGCAGGAAAATAAGACTTTCACAAGTCTCCCCTGCCCACAACCAATCCAGGATATCTGTCACGTCCCAGCAAGGCTTCCTGAACCTCTCTTCTGTGAGAACCCTACCCACAGGGATTTTCGCCCCACCACGTTTCACCGAAACCCAACAAGTTCAATCAACTCAATCTACTATCATTGAACAAATCCAACTGAACAATGAACCATTCTTCATCTTCGCAGAACACGCCCCATACAATGAATACACACCCCGATTTTACTACATCCACTCAAGGATTGTCCTCCAGGAATCAAACGCCAGAATAGACCTGAACTATATGTTATAGGTAGTTAGTAACGCCCTCACCATCGCTATTGAACGGATCAAACAATACACCCACCAGATCAACCACGATAACACTGCCAGCAAGGAACTCATCTTCCACCAAAATGGGGCTCTGAAGCACACAGTCGACATCCCAGCAAAACAAATGTTCGAAATAACTAAGAACCTTGACATAATAAATGAGAAACTCCACTGGCTACAACACCAAACCTCCTCAGTGGACCAGACCCAACAGAACGATTCCAACCACCACAGACCGATTATAGCCCCCCCAGCCCCAGCTGCAAGCCGACTCACCCCATTACACAAAGGCAAGAAACTTGAAATATCTGTGCCCCCTGCCCAACCTAATTCAGCAGCAAACACGAATCATAAGCTGTCGTCACCGCCCAAGATAGAGGGACTGAATTCACAACAGTCACCAACAAGCAGAAACAAAAACCTAAAGATGACCCACTGTTTAACCACAAATCACAAAAATCAATGGGGAACTCGTTATCGAGACAAGCAGGGATCCGCTAATCACACCCCCCCCGATGTCAGAACCAAAATCAACTCCAAAATCCAAGATCCTGACTGCCAACTCATCACCAACCAGAAAACGAACAAAGATAACTATATCCTAGAATCAATATTCACAACCGCAGCTACCAAAGTCCTCAAATACAAAAAAGAAATCGAAGCCGCCCGCAATAAACTAAAAGTACCCATTATTGACAGCGGAGTTGATTCCTCGAGGCAGTTACCAGTGCTTTTCGGGTATTATATGGTAGAGGCCCCGAGGGCGTTTGTCAAGGTTTTGGGGATGCATATTCTGCTCCACTACCACCACGGCAAGCATGCCTTCCAGACCAAAATAACAGAAACGCTCAGTTCCCGATAGACCCAGTCAGCGTGCTTCAATTTCGTCTTCTGTTAATAAATGCTTACGGGGTGCAATGAGTATTTCCAGTGCGGCCAGCTCTTTCGATTCTATAAACTCTATAGTTTCTGGATCGACAACAGAGGTGGACACAGATTTTGATAACGGCCCACCGAGCTTTGTAGAGAGTTTTGATAGCTATCCTGAGGGCCAAGCAGTGGTGGAATACTCCTCACGTGGGTGGATCAGACTTGACGATCATTCAGAGGAAGACGACGCTGCCCTGTAGATATATGAAGATGACTATGACTATGTGGGTGACTATGATGAGGATGAACCTGGAGATGAGATTCTCCCACCTCCACCACCAATCCTAGCTCCGCCCCGACTAATACCTAATCCCCTCTCTGAACGTAGGCTCTCTCCACTACCACCACCATGTAACCTATCATTACAAACGCCCCCCTCAGGATGAATACTATCTCAGACTCCCCCAGAATGAAGACATTTTCAGGCTCCCCCAAAATAGAGATCACGGCTCAGAAAAAGAGCAGTGGAGGCTCCTGTAGCCTTCGTTAGGGATCTTGTGGCCTCCCGTAAGAGATCAAGTAGGCCAGTAGAAGAAGCAATTGCTTCTTTGTCTGTCCCGGTGAAAATAACGTAGGTATGTGCCCACTATACTCTTTGATTTGTCTATACTTATCGTACAAGTATGGCAATCGTGATGCAGTTAATCCACCCAAACCGACGATGCAACAGCATCCCTTGAGGGCTGGGCAAGCTTTCGAGAGAGCAATCTTTACATCTCGAAATTCCTCGGTTGGTTTGTCAAGCACCTTACGACATGAGCATGAGCTTTATCGTACACCAGCGGCTTCACAGTCATATCGTACCCCTCCCGCTACCCAATATCATGGTTTCCCATTTGTGCATGGAACACCTGGGCCGGAGTCAGTTGACAGGTCGTATAGCAAGTTGCCAGAATACAAGCTAATAATTAAACACATCGGAGAGCTTCTCGGATGTTATACACTGCTTGAGGAACCTTGGCAACAACCTGACTCTCTTATGGTTAATATTCGAAAATTTTAGGCAGAAGCAAGCGATCATTTTAATACCACTTTAAATCTGACTAAAAGTAATAGAACAGGTGTGAGTAGGTTTAAAGCCTTCCATAAGGCTCAGGGAGCCCTTGCGTATACGACTAGGTTCAAATCGTATCTTCACGAGTAAGATCACACCTTATTTATGCTGTCAAAGACTATATAGCGAAGTTCATCCTGTATGGGATGAATGAGCTTCTTACAGCTGAGAAATGGGCCACCAAAGTCAATTATCTACTCGAAAAGGACCGTCTCATCAATGACCCTGACAACTATTCGGTAAACATTTCTTGTCTTTGGTTAGCATTTTAGAAAGCTCTAACAGACTTCAGGGAGGCCGTTGATACTTCTGGGCTCCAGAAATCCTAGACGTGATATTTCTGAAGTATTACAAAGGCGACAAGATGCATGATGCAAAGGATCCTGATTTCATCGAATATATTTCTCCGGCATTCATATGCCTGGTCTGTACCGGAATCTAGTTTGTTCTCTGATGTTGGACGACTGGAGATTACCTAGAAGGTGTGCACTTCAACCCAAGGCAGAATATGGATATCATGTTTAAGGCGTCTCCAGCCCTGTGAAAGGCTCCTGCTGACTTGTCAATGTCAAGGAACGTATTCTAAGATGATGGATATATGGAAGAAGAGAAGTGTACAGAACCAAGTGGGCACTCTAGAAGTGATACGAGAAACGATTGAAGAGAAGGTCAACATCGCTATGCAACTACACATGGTGCTGAACGTACTAATAACATTACTATATAGGTTGAGGAAGTACGAGGGCCCAGGGAGTTGATATCGAAGGTGGGGCAGAAGGAAGATTATGAGGTATTGGCAGTAGATATCATGGCGTGGAGGGCTGCAAAAGCCCATCGCAAGGCTCAGGGAGACAGAGCTACGGTCGAGCATAGCAAAGTGGACAACATTGGTATGTCACTATAGCTAGGTGATAGGGTAGAGGGGCTAAGTGAGGCAGTAGATATTACACCAATGCCTTCTGAAGCCTAACCAAGGGCATATGAGGAATAAGGGGTAGGAATTCCTTTCGTGGATATGGATAAATAAATACATTATCTCTACGCTCTATCAGATATTTTGTATGCTAATAGATTACTATGTGTTTGGGTTTGGGTTACTAAGTCCCATTGAGCCTTGTTAGAGTCTGCTCGGAGGTTCTCCTGGGATGTC